CGAGGCTAAAATTTTTTCTTTTTTTTCTGTACTACCTTTGTGATAAAAAGGTCAAAAAGGTTAAAAATTTATTTTTTCATTCAGTTTTGAACGAAATAATAATAATAATAATAATAATAATAACAACTCTCGCGTTTTTTTTTTTTTTTTGAAATTGAAAACCGGGGGGGAATAAAATTATTAATTTTTTTTATTCGGCAGCGAATTCGATTGATTATCATCATCATCATCATCATCATCATCATCATCATCATCATCATCATCATCATTATTATTATTATTATTAATCGTTCTCATTAAAAATATTCACGTATTAATCCGACGCCATTTTGTTTTTTTTTTTTTTTTTTTTTTTAAATAAATTTCAAAGGAGTTTTAAAAACTCCCTCGTTCATTCGTTCGTTTTTTTCCGCCCCCCTAAAATTATTATTATTATTATTATTATTATTACATTACAAGGGGAGGGGGGGTTATAAAAAAAAAATGATGATGATGGTGATGGTGATGGTAACAAAACGAATGCGGAAAATTCAATTTTTTATTTAAAAAAAAAAAAATTTCTCGCCCGCCGTAAAAGATTCAAATTATTTATTTTTTTCGCGCGAAATTTTAAAATTTAAATTTTTATAGCTGCTTCCACGACGATTTTTTCCATTTTCGTTTACTCTCTATCTTTCTCTCGCTCGTCGTTCGTTCGTTTGTTCACTCGCTCGTCCGTAAATAGTAGAAAAAAAAAAAAAAATTATATAGAATGCATTTAACGTTGTCGATTACATAATCCTGATTACGACACTGTTCTTGTTGCTGTTATACCCATTATAATAGTTTCTCTTCTCTCTCTTTTTTTTTTTTTTTACATTTTTTTTGTGGGTTAGTATCGTTATGTCATTCGAGGTATCGATATCGATTCTTCGCGATAATTAATTTTTTTTTTTTTTTTGCCGGGTTCAAACTTGATTCGTTTTTCCTTTTTTTCTTTTCTCGGGCGGGCGCCCGCGTTCTCCGAATCAAAAAAAACCATAATAATAATAAAAAAAATAATTGGAATTTTCCTTTTAAACACTAAAAATTTAGTTTAATAATAGTAAACCGTTGATCGTACCTTTTTTCGATTCGATAATAACCACACACCTAACTTTATTATGACCGACGAAATTTTTTGAAAAAATAAAAAAAATTTAAATTCCGCGCATGCGTCGACCGACACACATATTCAATTATTATTATCATTAAGAATTCATTTTCAATTTTTTTTTTTTTTTCAATGTGATTTTAATGGATGTAATAAAAAAAAATTTAATTTTTTTTTTTTTCTGTTTTCCTTATCAATAATTCTCGTTAGTTCGTGTTGTGATTGTGATTGTGGTTGTCGTTGTTGTTGTTGTCGTCGTCGTCGTCGTCGTTGTTTGTTTGTTATTTGACTACTACGAATACGAAAAAAAAAAAAATTTTTTTATCGCCATTAAATAATATTCGCTAAATCAATTTATTTATTTATTTTTTTTTTGTGAAACGACATTTTAATAATAAAAAAAAAGGTAAAATTTTATTAATTTTATTCATTGTGTCGTCTGCTAAATTAAAAAAAATCCTTTTTTAATACGGGGAGGTGGGGAGGGGAAATTAAAAAAAAAAAAACGTGCGTCGTGACGAACGCATCCCGCCGAAAATTTCTTATTTTGAAAATGTAATGACACGTACAATAATAATATTTTTCTTATAAAAAGAACTATGGAACGCAAAGTTTATAATCAGTGGAAAACATCATTTTATATTTTTTTCGTTTATAAGCGAAAATAACAACAACAAATTCCACGCAGCCTTTAATACATAAACAATGACTTTTAACAACAAAAATCGGGGAGAGGGGAGTGGGGGAAGTTTTTCTTTTTGTTATTACCTTTCCAAAAAAAAAAAAAATATTACCCATAAATAAATTTTCAATAAAATTAATAATAATAATAATAATTTTTTCTTTTTTCTTATTTTTTTAAGGTTGTGATAAAAATAATTTATTTTGGGGGAAAAGGAAAAATTATTATTAAAAAAAAATATGGAATGGTTATAAAATCATCATCATCATCGTAGCAAAAGGTAATTTTGGCGGTAATTTTAAAAAATAATAGGAGGTTGCCACTAAGAAAGAAAAATCAAAATGTCTAAAATTCAATGTTCGTCTGGTTCTCATTGTGATAAAACAACAACAGGAGAAAATAAAATTGAAACTTCTAACCACGTAATAATAAATGTATCAGACAGTAAAAATTCAATAAGCGCAGTAAGTAATTTTAAATTCAATTTATATTAAAAAAATAGAGTAATATTTATTTATTACCCGGTAATAAAATAATAATAAAAAATAAAAAAGTTTTCATGCCAATCTTAATGACGTACAAGTTTTTGTTGTTTTTGTTGTTGTTGCATTAAATAATGAATAAAAACTTTCATTTTTTAATTTTTATTATATTATTATTATTATCATTTAACAAAGAGATTTATTAACTTAAACTCAATCTGAACAAATCAAGTTTTTCTTTAAATAGATTTTTTTCGCGGGGGGAAAGTGTAGGGAAGGGAAAGGGGAAGAAGAGTGAAAGTAAAAATAAAAAAATTTTTTTTCCCATTTAAAATCAATGGCGTTCGATTATTTTTAAATTTGGCGCCTTTTTAAAAAATTTTTTTTCGTACGGGTTTGCATTTATTTATCATTTTAATTATTATTATTATTATTATTATTATTATTATTATTATTAACGGTTTAAAATTTTGATTTTTTTGTTTTTTGTTTCGGTTTCGTGATTGTTTGGTAAAAAAAAAAAAACGTGGCAGCAGCGTGTGGAATTATTTATTTATTTTTTCATTTTTATTTTCGTAGATTTTGCTTTAAATTAAATAAAAAAAAAACCGGAAATGAAGGATTTTAATTTTCTAACACTAAAAAAAAAGGAATTTTTCAGAATTACACGATACCTTTGTTAAATTCCTTTGTTACAAAAAAAAAAATTAAAAAATTGCAATTAAATCAAAAACAGAGAAAATTAAAATTAAAATTTTTTTTTCTATTGACATATTTTAGAATAAAATAAGAGTAGATTTTATACCTTTGTCCTCTCTATCTCTCTCTCTCTTTCTCTTTCTCTCTTTCTCTCTCTCTCTTTCTCAATTCGTTAATTTCGTCATTTTTCTTTTCCCAAAAACAAAAAAAAAAAAAAGGAAATGGTTTTGTTTTTTGCGGGTAAGACTTTTTCCGGTCAATTAAATTTTAAACGTAATAATAATAATAATTTTATGCGTTCAAATTTCTTATTTATGTACTTATTATTATTATTATTATTATTATTATTATTATTATTATTATTATTATTTTATTTATTTATGTACGGGCATTATGTATTTAAAATAATTTTTCGTTTCTCTCTCTCTCTCTCTCTTTGCTCTCGTACCTGCGACAATTTTTTTTAAAAAAAAAAATTCTTCAAATATTTTTTTTTGCATTTAATAACACTTGTCGTCGTATTATTAAAACGAACGAACAAACAAACGTGGGAATAAGTAAATAAATAAATAAATAAGGAAACGTTAATCCCACGCACACTTTTTTTTTTTTTTTTTTTTAATTTTCACCTGTTAAACGTGTTAATAACTCGGCGTAACAAAGTCGTAAATAAATATTTTGTCGTTAAGTTTACTCACACTCTCCCTCTTTCTCTAAACATTCCACGTGATAATAATAATAACGTCACACTCACGCACTCACGCACGCACTAACTCACGCACTGTTCCAGACGTTTATTTCTCGTCTATTGACACGAATTTATTTAATTATTTCGTTTCTCTTTATATATAAATTACAAAATTCCTATTAATTTAAATTAATGTTTATGAGATAATTAAATTGACAATTATTAAAAATTAATCGTTTTGACACAATTATCTCCACCACTACCACCACCACCGACGTTTTATCCCGTTCTTCCGGAAAAATCTTATAATAATAATGATGATGATGAATTTCCGGTCAGTCATGACATTTTATTTATCATTTTTTGTTTAAAACCATTCAAACACATTAAACGCATCACTTTTCTCTTTCCTGGATAAACCATAATAATAATAATAATTTGACGACATTCGAATGAAATAAAAATAGGGGGAAAATGTGACGTCATCGTGCAATAATAATAATAATCGGTCGAAAGCATCGTGTGTTTAAATGGGAAATTTTTCGTAAGAACTTTGTGCGACGCGAAAAAATGCCTTTTTATAAATTTTTTAATTTTTTTTCCTGGAATCTTTTATTATCATCATCATCATCATCATCATCATCATCATCATCATTATTATTATTTAAATGGGAAAACGGTTTTTGTATTTTTAAAAATAATAATAATAATGACAATTTTAACGTCGGAAAATAATTTTTTAAAATTTAAATGAGATAATTGAAAAAAAAAAAAGCTCTGGAGGAAGAGAGATCACGATGAATGCGTCACGTGATGCGTCACAAAAGTGAAAAATTGTAACTGTAATAAGTTTAATAACACTTATTAATTAACGATTAATAATTACGTAATATAAATCCTTCTTTATTAATTAATTATTTAATTAATTAATTAATTTCTTCTTTTTTCCATCTGAATTTCTTTTTTTTTTTTTTTAAATCGTTCGTTTCGAATCTGATTACGGATTATCATCATCATCATCATCATTATTATCACCATCATTCTTTTTTTACTTTTTACTTTTTCTTATTCTTATTTTCCAGCTCCAGTAAATCGTAAAAAGAGATGAAAAGAATAAAGAAAAAAAAGAAAAAGAAAACTTTATTAAATACGATCCCCCCTATTATCGTGAGTGCCACCATTTTTTTTCGGGGGGGGGAGGGGATGGTTTATGCCTCAGGCATTCGTGCAACAGCAACAGCAACCATGTTTTCTTTTTTTTTTTTTTTTTTGCAAACTTTTCCACGGGGAAAAAGAAAAGAAAGAAAGAAAGGAAAAATGGTTTTGCTTTTTTTATTGAATGTTCGTGATGAAAATTTAAACGGAGAGGGGAAGGGGGCGTGGGGGGTAAAAATTTCGTAAGTTGAAGAAATGAGTTAAGGATCCGTCCGTCTGTCCGTTCCGTTTTAACTTTACTCAACCCCCCCCCCCCAAAAAAAAAAAAAAAAAAAAAGATGATGAAATTTTTTTTTTCTTTTATATCTACATCATTATTATTATTATCGTACGTAAGTATGGAAAATTTACTGGAAAAATTGATTTTTTCCATTTTCTTTTCTTTACAGTGTTCCTGCGGTCCAGAATGCAGTCCTGATAAATGCGAGGGAAGAAATCGTTCCGTTTTACTCGGATGGGATTCGTTGAGAACGAAAATATTTTTATGTTTGTTTGCCGTTTTTGTGGTTTGGTTGGTTGTTTATGTTTCCTTATCGCTCACCGTGTTAAGCAACTAACAACAACAACAACAACCACCACCATCGCGATAGTGTAATAAAACATTTTCCAAATCGTCCACACGTCCTCTCCCTTCCCCCCTCCCTCCCCCTTTTCCTTCCCCTTTTCCTTCCCCTTTTCCTTCCCCTTCTCTCCCTCCTCCTCCCCCTTAAGCCACGAAAACAATTTTTTTTTGTTGGAATTTCGTTTGTTTTGTTTTTGTTTTTCTAATTACGTCACATAGCTAAGGTCAACGTTAAAAAAAAAAAAATTTACGACGTCATCATCATCATCGTTGCTGTAAAAAAAAAACGCATGCGTAAAAAAGAACGTAAAAATTGATAAAATGTTTTTTGCAAAAAACGCATTAATTTTAATTAATAATAATAATAATAGTGTTAATAATGATAGTGATAATTCACGTTTTATACATATATTTATTACGATAATTTTTTTTTATTTTTAATTTTTATTTTTTTGTTAAATAAATAAATAAATAAATTGATAATTAATAATAATTAAAGTTATAAATTTTTTTACTACTAAAGTCGTGACGTTGTCTATGACGTCACAACGAAACATCCTATTTACTTTTTATAAAAGTTTAAACCCAATTCTTTCAGTTTTTTAGGTTTTTTTTTCCTACCTTAAATCCACTGTAATACGATTGCGATTTAATAATGATGATAATAATAAGGGTAAATATACGAACGCGCACGCGCCCCCCACACACACAGGCACCCACGCACGCAACCGGTCGGATGATTTTATTTTATTTATTTATTAAATTAAATTTTTTTTTGTTTTAAATTCGTCGTTTCGTTAAAATTTAATGATCCGAATGATGAAAATTTATGATTATTATTATTCGATGACGATGCAGACGACGACGGTGATGATGATGATGATGATGATGAAACGAACAAAAAAAAGAAAAATTCTCAAACCTTTTTCGGGGAGAAAAAAAAAAAACGAGGATAAAAATAATAAAAAATAAATAAAAATTTATTATTATTATTATTAAATATAAACTTTTGTAGGGAGGGGGGAGGGGCCAAAAAAAAAAAAATTTCGGTTAAAGTTTGGGATTTTGGGTTTTTTTTTAAAAAAAATTTTGTGCGACAAGATGAAAACCTAATCAAATAGAAAATTTTTCCTTTTTCTCTTTTTTACTTTTATTCTTTCAATCGAGTGTGAAAATTTTGTTTTTCTTTCCTTTTTTTTTATAACAACAAAAAAAAACATATTTTAAACGTCATAGTGGATATAAAAAATAAAATTCAAAAGAATATAATAATAATAATAATAATTTTTTTAGTGTTAAAAATAATCGAAAGAAAATTTTTGAAAAAAAAAAAAAATTCTCATCTATTTTGATAACATAATTTAGAACAAACAAACAAACGTTTTTTTTTTCTAGTCGTTTGTAGTTAATAAATAAATCAAATCTTTAAAAAAAATAAAAACGGGAGTCGTGGGAAAAGAAAATTTTTTTTTTTTTGTAATATTGCGACAAAAAATTTCGATTCCCGCGCAAATTGTCGCTAATAATAAAAAAAATTCTTATCAATTCTCGGATTTACGCCACATTTATATAAATTTTTTTTTTTTGTAAAAAAAAAAAGAAAAAAAAAACCGGAAACGGATATGTACGCACCGGATATATATATCAAAAATCGACAAACGATAAAATGTCGTAAATTTTTCCCACGTCAAAAACAACAACAACAACAAACGAAATAATAAGTAATAAAAAAAAAAATATCGATGAAACGAATGACGACGACAAAAAATTTTTATTTTATTTTTTTTATTACGTAATAATAATTTATTTATTTATTTATTTATTGAATTTCGGTACGTCGTAAATGTAATAAAATAATAATAATAATGACAACGGTGTCGATGATGATGATGATAATAATAATAAAAAGTTTTGATTGTACAAAAAAAAAAAAAAATTACAGCGAACATGATTACAAATCTTAGTCGTCATCCTTGTACAAGGTTGTTGTTTGTTGTTTGTTTTTGTCGAACTCGACGACGCATTCGTTTGTTTTACGGTAATTTATACGCGGGTAAAAAAAAACGTAACCGAAAATCGGGGGAAAAAAAAAATGCAAATGAAGTAAAAGAATCCAAACCGAATGACTCTCCCATTTGTAAGTGATATACATCCGATCCTTCGGGATCCGAGTCCCTTTTTTTTTTTTTAAAAAATGTTAACTTATATTTTTTTTTTGTGAAAGAGAGAGACAACAGCAGTAATTTTAAACTTTTACTCACGACAGCAAAATGAGTGATAATTACAACAAAAAAAAATAAATTGTTTAAAAACAAAAAAAAAGAGAGAAAAAATTTATACGATAGAAAATAAATTGCGTAATGACTTGTTAAAAAATTTATTTTTCTTTTTTTTTTCTCTCTCTCTCTCTCTCGAAATAATAATCATTAATCTAGTTCGTTTTTTTTTTTTTTAAACATGTTGGTATCACTGCTTTACATTTTTTTTTTTGACGTCGCAAAAAAAAATTAAAAAATTGATGTAAAAAAAAAAAAAGGAAATAATTGTTGTCAGTCTTCAATTTTTTTTTTTTTTTGCTGTCGGTTGAATTTTTGCTGTCGATAATAAAAAAAAAAATTAATTTAAATTTAAGAAAACGAACGAGAGAGAGGGGAGAGAGGGAGGAGGGAAAAGGGGGAGGAGAAAAATTATTATTATTATTAACAGGGTGACGTGCTCCGATGTAAATTCGTGTATGTGAAAATTTTTTGACACGTATTAAAATATATACGAAAAAGCGAATCGCCTTTCCCTCCCTTCATCCCCCTCCCCCCGCCTCGCGCGAATCCAAAATCTAAAAATTTTCTGTTTTTTTTTCCATCTCTCTTCTTCTGCCACGTTTAATTATGTTTATATAACTCGCGATGTTTTCCTTTTTCGTTATTATTATTATTATTATAAATTTTAATTCCTTGAGGGCTTGTTTAACGACAAACGCACACACACAACACACACGCTACCTTTTTCTCAAATTAATAACAAATTTTCACCACCGTATTATTATTATTATTATTTCTTTCTTTTTAATAACATTTATCACGTGATGTAATTTACTAATATTAACACTACCACCAAAAATATCGTCTGCAAATCCGCCAATTAATTTAAAAAAAAAAAACTTTTTTTTCTTCATACGTTTTTTTTTTCAGCATAAGAGAAAATCAATCTCTCTCTTTCTCTCTCTCTCTTTGTTTCTCTTTCGATTTCTCTCTCTTTCTCTCTCTCTCTTTGTTTCTCTTTCGATTTCTCTCTCTTTCTCTCTCTCTATTTTTCTCACTCTTTTTTATTTTTATTTACTTTTTTTCTACTTCTCATTCTATTTGTCTCCCTCGCGCTCCATTTCTCTTTTTCTTTTTCTCTCTCCATTTCTCTCTTTTTTTCTTCCTTTTTTTCGTTATCTTTCTCTTTTTCTCTCTTTCTATTTCTTTTTATACTTCTCTCTTTACTTCTCTTTCTATTTGTCTCTCTTTTGCTATTTCTTTTTTTTTCTCTTTTTTTTCTCTCTCTCTCCCCATTTTTTTTTTCTACTTCAATCATTTCATCTCTCTTTCTTTCATTGTCTTCCTCTCTCTTTCATTATGTTTTCTTTCTCTCTCTCTCAGGTTTTTTTTTCAAGTCGTAGAAGAAATTCTACCAAGACATAACCATCATTCTATGATGTTTTAAATCAATTAAAACATTTGTTGTGTCAACAACAAAAGAAAATCACCGGAATCGGTAGCAATTATGACGTCATCATGATAACCTCAACAACTTATTCCCGAGTAAACGTCATCATTGCCATTTTCCTTTTTCTTCCAAAACCAAAACCGATTTATCTTCTTTCAGAAAATCATCTTTCGACCATCTTTTCTTCATCTTAAAAAATTAAACACGTCAGTAAATAAGAAAAAAATTAAAAAGGAGAGAGTGGAGGGTGGGGAGGGGAAGGGGAGGGAGTGGGAAAGGGCGAAAAACTACAAAAAGTTTTATTTTTTTCCTTTAACTTTTAATTATTTAATTAAATTTAAAATAAAGTAAATAATTAAAGAAAAGCGGGCAGGTGAAAATAAAGAGAACAAATGATGCCAACTTTAAAAAAAAAAAAAAATTTTTTTTTTAAAAAACAGGCAGTCATCATGACTGACGAAATTAAATAAAAGGTTCAAAATTCAACCCTTTACCCCCTCTCCTCTGCCACCCCGGAGGGTATTTTTTCCCTTCTCTTTGTTTTATTTATTTTTGGATCGTGACGTAATTTGTTACGTCACATATTTAAAATTCCTTTTGATCTTTTCTTATGGTTATATAAATGTATGAGATTTAAGAAAATCTTTTCATTTAACAAAAAAAAAAAAAGTTTTCCCTATACGATGTAATGATTCGAATGATGATGATAATATTAATGATGATGATGATGATGATGATTAAATAAAAGAATATTTCTCTCGTAATAGAAATTAAAATAAGATTTTCCTTTTTGGTCTTCGGTAAACTTTTGGGAAATCTCACATTTTCCTTTTTTCGGTCTTTAATAACTAATTAAACCTAAGGTTTAAACAAAATTCAAAGGAAGGAAGAAAGGAAGGAAGGAAGGAAGGAAGAGTTATTGAGAGTAAGACCACTTTCCTTTTAAATTTTCCTTTTTTTTTTTTCGAATTCGAATTTAATTCGAGTTACTTTCAACTCGTCTAATCATATCCGTTAAAAAATCAAAATTTTTTTTGTATTGATTTTTCATCATCATACGTTTTCGTGGGGGGAAGAGGGGAGTCGTTTCTCTTTTTCTCAGGTTTTTATCCTCCGTGACGTCATTCGTACTAAAACCTAAACTAAATTTTTTTTTTTTGCATTTACAGAAAGGGGGAAGAGACATTAACGAATACGAGTTTCAATCAATTTAAACGTGTCACAAACGGAAAAGTTTTTTTTTTTACCATTTTCACATGACAGACGCCATTTTTTTTTTTTTATATT